GGCCACTACTCTCATTCGGGCGCATGCGCTCGACGCCTTCGATACTGCCCCTCGGTCGTTTAACCCGCTCACCATCGATCGAGAAGCAAAGGAGTTCACATCGTTCGATGCCTATATTCATGATACCAGTCTTTCTGCATAGGTTCGAGGTCGTTTGCGCGTGCATCCACCCTGAACATGGCCGCTTTGCTTCTCGCGGACATCAGGCAGATGCTTGGACGTTGTGTTGCGTGAGACAAAGTGGCTCCCGTCTGCTCTCGCAATTCTCTCGGCAATCAGCTGGAGGCTTACCTAGGCCAGTTCGGAGCGCTGGAAGCCTCCGCTGTTAACCTCGGATGCGACGACACAGCTGGCAAGGCTTTCAGGACGGGAAAAGGGAGAATACGCAAGAGGAAGGAGAGGAAGAGGAAGACGCTCAGGAAGGTCAAGAGGTTGAAGAAGATGCGTTCACACTTTGGCAGGAAAGCTGTGAAAGATTTTGCATCGGAGCCTATGCCTGGCTATATCTTTGGCTGCGAGATCCAAGGCCTCATCGACGGTGATGTGCACGGTCTTAGGCGCATGGCTGCCAGCGTGATCAAGTCTGATGCTGCGAGACGTTCTCTCACTGTTCTTTCGCTCCGGGAAGGGAGCCCTGTCTGGTGCGGTTCGGTTGCCCCCATCCTTCGGCATGTCAGAGAAATCTGGCTCCTTCGGACGCTTGAGTTCCAGGGGGCCATCGACTGGGCCACGATTCGAGCTTCCTGGGGGAGTGTCTTCGCTAGCCGTCAGAAGACTGTTACCTGGATGAAGGTTTCGGGGCCCAGGAGTGCGATGTTCATGAGCTCCAGGATGGGATGGGACATGAAGAATCTAGCTGTCTTTATTGATGACATGGGCCGCGAAATCTCTTGCACCCTGCAGTCGCCCGCTATGTTCAAAGCGCTGCTCAGGCAGGCTGTTCTTCGCCAACTGGAGAGGGCTGCATACCACAAGCCGGTCGAAGGTGGCCTGATCTGAGGTCTTGCTGCTCCAGCTGCTGACGAGGGCTTAGCTTGCCCCAGCGAGCAGTTGGCCCCCGATCGCACTCCCCTCGAGCTGTCGGGATCGAACCGTCTCTGTTTTGATCTCGTCACGGCTGGTCTCCGCTCGAAAAAAACACGGCTTGGGAAAAGGGTTCCCTGAGAGCCCTTGTCTGCAATGCTATTTGGACCAACTCGCGTGCGCTGAGGTGCGGCTACCAGGTCAGCCCCCTTCGTGCTCTTTGTAAGACTACACCGTATCTGGGAGTGCGGGGCCTGCCAGGACGAGCGAGCCGAGTTGGTTGATGCTGGTATGATTCTGTGGGCCAAGGAGGCCCTTGTGAATAATTCCTCCGACCTGATCAATTTCCCCATCGGTACTTTCGCTCACCCTGGAGACCTCGTCCCGCCCCCTTTCAAGCAAGATGGAATGGCTGGCATGACTGTGGGACACTTCAAAAAGGATTCCTGTTTTCTGGTTTGGAGCATCCTGGGCCCGAGTCTGTAAAGCACCAAGGAAATGTGTTTTGAAACGGCAGTTGCTTTTACTCAAAAATCCGCGGGCTCCCCAGGGCTGGTTGGGCGTTTGCGATGTTATCTGGCCAAAGCCGCATGCTGGCCCGTGTTTACGGGCCCGCGTGGGCCCACATGCAAGAAACCCCGCAAACGGTAGAATTCTCTAGTCCGGCCGCGGGTGTCAACCTTGACGAGCAGTCTGTGTTGTATTCCGATTGCGCCTCGTTGTTTCCGTGGCCTCTCGGGCTCCGCGGGACCGCCTCGGGGGGCAGATGGCCTACACCGGCTCGGTGCTCGATGCTCGAAGCCACCTCGGGTGCTGGGCCGCGTTTAGAAGGCCTAGTCAAAGTCTCGGCTCACAAAGATCTGGGCGAGGATGGCATATCGGCGCTGGAGCGATGGCGCAGAACTGGCAACCAGCATGCTGACACAACGGCCAAACGAGGAGCGTGTCTTCACCCTCAGGCGGAGCCTGAACTCTTGCAACGCATCGATCGCGCTGCCAAGATAGCCAAATCTGTTATTTCACTTGCTGCGAAGCTGCTGCCTAAATGGCCTCGCCTCGATGTTTCGCAGGCTGAATTCATCAGGCCTCCGAGAGACGTGAGATCTCCGGAGTTCGGGGCCCACGAGTGGGCCTGGACGGGAGTTTTGGCACTGCACGGCATGTCTGCGAGGAAGGCGAGTTGCCGTTTGCCCTCCGCCTGGCCGATGTGTTGTCCCGCCGAAGGTCAGCCCTAGTCTGATCGAGCAGAACGGCCACCAACGTGCGGTTGTGGACTGCTCGGATGGCTCGTTCCTGTATTTGTCGCCGATGCGGTTTTACAGCTCAGGGGGCCGCGTGATGAAATTGGGTGCTCCCTGTGCCCAGTCGAAGACGGGGGCTGGCCACACTGTTTGGACATATTTTTTCCAAGGCAGGCACCCACATCTGATCAAGAGGGAGAAGAATGTCAGATTCCTCCCGTCTCCCTGGACTGTACAGTAGGGAGATGAAGCAGATGGTCCCCTGAAGAGGGGGTCGAACGGCAGTGGAGCGTGAACAAAAAATCGTCCTCCTCCTCCTCTTCCTTAACCCCTGTCGTGCGGGTTGGCGCTACAGCGCACGTGCGCATCTCAGTGCGCACCGCAGAATGGTCTATTGAATCGGTCCACTTGGTTCCCGGACGGACAATTCAGCTGGAGCCTCCTGGACGCAAATGGGAAGAGGTAGGGTGATGCGGGCGGACTCGGGATGACTCGTAGATTGCAGAGACGATCCGTTGTCCATAAGGATTATGTTCTATTGTTTTCTGTGGAATCCACAAGCGTTCCAATTTGTCAGAAGGCTTCGTTTAAACATCCTCTATACAACAGTGGTGCTGTGTTGCACACGGTTGCTGTGGTGCACACAAACGCCATGGTGCACACAGGCAATGCAATGCACGCGGGCATTGTGGTGTACACTGGCGCTGTGTTGCACACGGTTGGTGTGGTGTACGCAAGCCTTGTGGTGTGCACAAGAGCTGTTGTGCCCGCGTGCACGGTGGCACCAACTGACGTTGTGTTGCACGCGGATGCTGTGGTGTACATAGGCGGCGCGGTGTACACAGGCGCTGTGGTGCACGCAAGCACAGTGGTGTACACAGGCGTTGTGTGAAAATCGCAACCTACATGCTTGCGCTACCCGTCCTCCGTCATTCCGAAGCATTCCCAAACGCCGCCGGCGCCAAACGTGACGACATCGATCCCCTCCACCCCCCCTAGATGATTGCCGCCATCGGCCCGGTATAAAAAAAACTAGCTTCAGCCGCGTCCGCGCGCACGACGACTATGAGCGACGAGCGACAAACCACGAGCGACGACGACGACGACGACGACGACTGCGAACCAGACTCCTATGCGGTCACCTACGCGGACACCTACGCGGAACCCAAAACGCACGGCGGCAGTGCCCAGAGCGCACTGAGGTGGGGAGCGTTACGTCATAGGGGGGGGGAGCGGGGGCCATGACGCCCATCCTGCCCCAAGCAATGAAGAAACTGGCTCCTGGGCCCTGAGGGGCCCCTTCGGGGCCCTTTTAGGGCACGGAAAGGCGCACTTTTCTGCAGACCCCCAACTCTCGTCCCCCCATTGCGGAACGCCCGAACGGAGCTCGAAGAGCTCACGCCAGGACCTCGTGACAACAGCTCGGCGCACGCAAGCTTCTCAGGCTGTGAAGTGCCGCCGCCACTTGCCTCTCGCTGCAACCGACCCTGGCTATGCTAACTCGCTCGCTCGCTCGATACTTTCTCTGCCCCCCTCCTACTATCGTGCCTCGTTTTCCCTTATCTAGGACGACAAGACTCTATATTGACACAACGTGCTATTGATACGTTCCGGGGATTCCGGGATTTCTAACAATTTTCGCGCGGGGCACACTTTGCGTCGAGTATTGTCTACTCTGTCTGGCGCCGCTGGTCGGTCACCTACTCGCAATCGAGTGGTCGCCCGTAGGGGGCTATTTGGCACTCGCTGATCCGAATTCTCGTTGCCGAGCGCGGGGGGGACGGCGGCGCGCCGTCCCACCGCCCGCCGCCGCGCACTGCGCGCCTCGGCGGATTTCCAAAAACCTGGCGTGGCAAATCACGCGCGACTCTGGAAAATTCTCCGGGGGCAAATTTGAGAAACTCCGGGAACGTCGTTGAACATGTCCGGCCTACTTTTTAAAAAATAGCAGAATCGATTTTGAAAAATTCCGGGTTCGATTTTGAAAAATTCCGAAATAGATTTTGAAAAATTCCGGATTTCAGAATTCTTCAGATGTCCTGCGCGGCGGGCGCATTCCACACCTCAAAACTGTTTTTTTGAAAAAGTCCGGGCTCCTTCTTGAAAAATTCTGGAACCGCTTGCGCCAGAAAAACTGAGCCTTTTTGCGAAACATTCTACAATCCAGAAATAATTTCCGGGCGGTCCGACGGGCGCGGCCGGCTGATTTACGCACCGCGCCGCGCGCGATTGGGCGCAGCGCGCGCCGCGCGTTGCGCCCGCGAACAGCACTCGAAGGGGTCACTTCGGAAACAGCGCCGCGGCAGCTGCGACTCGCGGATTACCCAAGAGCAACACAGCATACAACTCGGCATCTCCGAGGGCGCTCCGATGCGCAAAAAATGCACCGCGCACATCGCGCAAAGAACCTGCGCGACGGAATGCGCTCGACCATTCGTCCCTGTAGCCCGCTCGGAAGAACAGGAAAACCTGGAAATCTTGAAAACTATCAATATCAATACTTCATGCTCCTCTGATTATCCTCCAGTCTACTCCTCGTCGCGTGGTGCGCCCCGCCTAGGCCTCAGAAATCAACACTCAACATGCCAGTGCTCTGGGAGTTGCCTGCAAGGTGCCCGTGCGGAGTTCGAAGCCCCTGAGACACCTGGCGCGCAGCTCCATATAGCCATCTCGAAGATGACCTTGCGGTCCGTAAAGCGTTTCGGGCATCTAAGAAACAATGTGAGCAATTAGCTTTGAAACTGTGTCGGCTCCCGCCGGCAGGGGCGGCCACATCTCAAGATCTATACACCACTCCTCTAGATCACAGGGCACGATTCCGACGTGCTGAACATGAGTATGCTGCGGTGGTGGAGTTGAGCCCTACATCCCCCATCCATAGGCTGCGGTCGGAGATCTCTATTGGGAAGCTCCTTCGGCTCCACGTTCTTGATGTCGGTTAGCTTGGCCAACACCTGAGCACCGCAGCGCGCATCGAAGCTCCAACTGCCACGGGACATTGATCTGGCCCACTTGTTCCAGCTTCAGGGGAGGACCTAAGGAGCGCGAAGACAAGCAGAATAATGCAAAAATGACCACACCACTGACAGCCACCAATCAGCGTACTGCACGCACACCTGCCAGGGCTCCGCGGAAAACCTAGCATATTCCGTCGCATGCCGAATTGTCCCGCCCTGCGCCTCCAGCAAATCGACTGGCGGCCAGAAGGAACAACCGTGCACATGTATAATTACGCTCTTCGGCTCAACCCACAGCGACTGCGGAGTCACGAAGACGGAGAAGAAGAGCGACGGAGGCGGTGAGGTGGCACACGGGTAGGAGGCGGGGGCAAGAGAGAGAGAGAGAGAGAAAGTCAGGCCGACAATGACAAGGGCCCAGACGGCCCCAGAAGAGTGCGAGGGCGAAGGCAGAGACGTTGGAGGAGGCCGGGGGGTTGGGACACCAGAAAATTGATCAGGAGGGGGGGTGGAGACAAATCCGTTCAAAATCGGTCCCAGGACCACTCCTGGGGTCCATCTGGTGCAATGTTTCACCCCAGATCCATTCTTGATAGTCCCTGGACCCGAAAACGCCTCCCGAGGCCGAAAAGGGAAATTACTCGAGAAGTACCCAACCTTCTCCACGCGAGCCGAATATTCGCACGAACATGCCATACAAAGAGCACATCGCCAGGTATGCACGATCTGCGCTGCCCTCACCTCCGCCGCGCCCTCCAGGAGCCCACGAACGTAGCGACAATTGCGCAGTTCGCAGCCACCCGAGGGAGCCGCGAGATACCAAATGGATCTGCGCTGCCCTCACCTCTGCCGTGCCTTCCAGTGCGCAGTTCACAGCCCACGAAAGTACTAACAGGTGCGCAGTTCGCAGCCACCCAAGGAGCAGCGAGGTCCCAAATGGATCCGCGTGGCCCCCGACTCAACCGGGCCTCCCAGGAGCCCACGAAAGTGATGACAATTGCACAGTTCGCAGCCACCTGAGGGAGCCGCGAGGTCCCCAACTCAGCGATAAATCCGCGTTCTCCCCGACTCCGCTGGACCTCCCAGGAGCCCACGAGTGGCGACACTTGCGCAGTTCGCAGCCTCCTAGGGAGCCGCGAGGTCCCCAAGTGATCTGCGTGGCCCCCACCTCCGCAGAGCCTCCCAGGAGCCCACGAAAGTGGCGACAGTTGCACAGTTCGCAGCCTCCCAGAGAGCAGCACAGGAGAAGGCAGGAGGAGGGGGGAGGAGAAGAAGTAGTGGATACCACAGTGCTCCACTCAAACCGAGCATACAACACGGGAGGGTCGGGGAAAAAACCTTCCCGGATCAGAGAACCTCGAACCTGCCCGCCCGGGAGCGCAGCTCGTCACCCCGATCGCCCCGCTTGCGGCCGCGCCTGCTTCTTGGCCTGCGCCGTCTCCGCGTCTTCTGGGGCCGCCGCGGCCGGGGCGGCCTCCGCGGGCTTGGCGGCCGCACCTGGTGGGCGGGGGCGGGGGCGTCGGGCGAGCAGCGCCCGCGCCTGCCGCGTGGCCCCCCTGCGGGAGGGAGAGAGAGAGGGGCGGGAGGGGAGGGGGGGAGGAGGGCGGATGAGGATGGTCGAGGAGACGGGCGAGGGGGAGAGGGGAGAGGAGGGAGAGGAGGGAGAGGAGGGAGAGGAGGGAGAGGAGGGAGAGGAGGGAGAGGAGGGAGAGGTGGAGCAGGGAGAAGGCGAAGAGGAGGGGGGGGTGGGGGCGAGGCCAGAGAGATGGCAAGGGGAGCCCGACAAAAAGAGGAGGGGACGAAGCGAAGAGGGGCGTGGGAGAGGAGAGCGAGAGGCGACGCGAAGAGGAACCGTGAGGAGGGGAGATGAGCATACACCCACGTGGAGAGCAGAGGGCGGGAAGCGGGGCAGTGGAAACAGGGGCACTGGTGAGTGAGGAGAGAGAAAGGTGAGGAGGGAGCGAAGTGGGAAAATGGGAAACGTGAAGGGGGAGGGTGAAGGGGAGGGGATGACCCAGTCTGAACCTGACGGTATATTTATATATATATATATATGTGTGTGTGTGTCTACTAGAACCATCGCGCGCGCTTCGCGCGCGCTCAAGTTCTAGCTAGGATCCTCGTAATCGTCACCATCGCCATCCCCCTCGATATCCTCCTCGAAATCGTGGATATCGTCGTCAGCATGATCACAACCATCACGATCACCATCACCGTCATCATCGTCACCTTCGTCATCATCAACGTCATCATCAGCATATTGTGGGGCTTCTAGGAAAGTACTTGAGGGCCCATTCCAGTCCTGCTTGACGTGCGCTTTGGGACAGATGTTGCGTGCGGGGAGCGAAAACATGAGGAATCATGTTATCGGAGAGCTTTCTGGTAACATGATGGCGTGCATGAAGGTTCATTGGGGGGCTGCCCGGCAAGTATTTTGGGACGCATGGTTGGGGCCGGGGGCGGAAGCTTGAGGAATCATGTTCCCGCAAGGCTTCCTGGGAACATGATTTGTTGGGGTGTCGTTGGGCGCCTCCGGAGGCTTCGGGGCCTGACGCGTTTCCGCACGTGGCGGCAGGTAGCGCTGCTTGGGACTCTCGTTTTTTTTCCAGGCAGGCGTTTAGGGAACATGGTTTGGGCAGAGGGCGGCTACCCGAGAATCCTCTTCCCGGGAAGCTTTCCTGGAGCATGATTTGTTCGGCTCTCTTAAGAGGGAGGCCTCTGGGGGCTTACAGAGGGGCCCCTTTTGGCCTTGTCGGCAATCCTATTGGAAACATGGTTGGGGCGGTGGGCGGATCGAAGCCCACAGAATCATGTTCCCGGAAAGCTGTCTGGGAAATGCGATTTACCGAGGTGTCTTGGGGGCCCGCAGGGGGCTTCCCTGGGGGCATATTGGCGCTTCCAGGGGGGCTCTTGGGAGCCTCACGGGGCTTCTTGGGAACCTCTTGATGGCCTCTGGGGGCGTCCTAGGAGCCTCTCAGGCTTGCGACCTTGAAATGTCGCGCTCTTCGGGCTCTCTTGGGTCGCTCTTGGGGCTCTCTTGGGGCGCTCTCGAGGCCCTCTTGAATTATCTGGGGAGCCTCCTGGGCCGTCTGTGCTTCCTTGGGAGCCTCTTCGGCCGTCTTGAAGCGATCTGAAGGGCCTCTGACGCCGTCCGGGACCATGGGGAGGCGGAACATGGGAGAGCGCAAGAATGCTTAAAAAACCATCAGAAAGTGAATGATTTTCAGCTTCTGGGGCCTTGGTGGGGCCTCTGGAGGCGCTGTTGGGGCGTTTTGGCGGCGCCGTCGGCCGTCCTGAGGCCATCTTCGGTGTGTCTGGGGCCTCTGGGGGCTGTCTTGGCAATATTTAGGGCCCTCTTGGCGTGTCGTGGCGTTTCTGGGAGCGGACCCAGGCAATCCTGGGAGCACTGGGACCCCCCCAGTCCCCCCATAGGGGGGTATGTATATATATTATATATAAATATTATTATCTAGTATATATATATATATGTATGTGTACATATATATTTATATATGTCTATATATATGTCTATATATATATATATATACAAAGTGGACTCTCTCACAGGACATCCCCGACGGCGGTTGGGTCAGACTTGAGTGAAAAGGAGAGCGAACCAGTACCAGTAAACACAAATACCATGGGAGGCAAGCGGGGGCTGAGAGCAGCGCCTGCAGCTGGGCCAGCAGCTTTCTCGCCGCCTGCAGCAGCAGCCTTTGCGGCCCTCTGCTTCCTGCGTTTTTTCCTCGCGCCGCGGAGTACACAATAGCACACAGTGGAGAGGAGAGGGGCACAGAGAAGAGGAGACACGACGAGGCGCTTGCGCCCTCGCGCTTGCCAGAGGACCAAAGAAACCCGAGAGAGAAAGAGAGGAAGAGAGGCGTGAAAGGAACACTGTTGAAAGGTATGCGTACTTGGCTCTCGCCTAGGAACGCTCATGGTGGCTGTCAGAACCCGTCGACCTGGAGGAAATGGTTTTCCAGGGAACCGTACTTGGTCCACCTTTCTGGGAATTGGGGTGCTCTGGTGCGCGAGAGGCTATTGCACTTCTGGGCTTCCTTGAAGCGGCATTTGCCGACGATTCGAATTGCTGGCGCCGGTTCTGCGGCATGACCAGGACAGTGCTCGAGTACGTCTACAATTATCATGGTGCATTTCATGCGTAGGAGTCTGCAAACCAAGTGTCGTTCGAGCCGTCTGGGGACAGCATGCACATCCTAGACACGAGTCGAGAAACCCGCATGGCAGATTGTTCAAAGCACTCGGGGATCTGATCGACGTCCGTCAGAATTGCAATTGGCTGCGCAACATTTTGAAACAGAAGCCTCTTGGCGTCCCCGAGCTCTTCTCCAGACAAAGCATGCCCCTAGTGTGGCACAGAGATGATCAGACTATACAGCTGCCAAAGTATGCCTTACATCGAGGGCGCCACTAAGGCGGTCTATCATGTCACAAACTATGCGATCTGAGTTCCTCACGTCAGAAATATAAAAGGAAGCGGGCTTAGGGGGGGCACCGTCGCCAGCCGCGTTCTGAGGGGGCCTCTCTGGAGGGGTGAGAGGGTCACGAAACGTCGTAAATAGTACGGTATCCGAATACCCTGCGCGCTCTGGCGGGGCCTCGTAGGAGGTAGTATCCGAATACCCTGCGCGCTCTGGCAGGGGCCTCACTGGAGTGTGAAGGGCGCGAGACGTTGCAAATAGTATAGTGTCTGGATACCCTGCGCGCTCGGTCGGGGCCTCCCTGGATGGGTGTGAAGAGCCAGGAATTCTGCAAATAGAATGGTATTCCGACTCTCTGCGCGCTCTAGCGGGGCCACCCAGGAAGAATGTGAGGGGCACGGCACATGGTGAATAGTACGGTATCAGACTACCCTGCGCGCTCTGGCGGGGCCTCTCTGGAGGGGCGTGCACCCGAAACGTAGTAGATCCGCCGACTCTTCAGCGTGTTTGAGACGCTTTTCCGTTTTTGTCGTCATCGTCCCCTCCGCGTCGAGCGATCTAGCCAAACAGAAATCATACAACGTCGTAGTCGGTTCGAAGATAAGTCCTTCTCGTTGATCCCTTCCCTGCCGGGGGGTCGTCCCGGGGGGCGCTCGGGGGGGGGTCCCGGGAAGAGTCCCAGGGGAGTCCCAGGGTGTCCCCGGGGTCGTCGAGCGGTCACCCATGTGGAGAACGGGGACAGGGGGTGGTCTCCCTGACGGCAAGGGAGTACCCTCCCCCGCCTCGGCCCCGGCTCTGGCCCCCGCTCTGGCCCCGCCCGGGTCCCGGCCACGCGCCGGCCCAAACAGAGCCCCACCCGACCCCGGCCCCAGCTCCGACCCCAACAAAGCCCAAGAGGCCCCCGGGACACCCCAAGCAGTGCTCCAGAGCGCGGGCGTCGTCGCCGCCGCCGCCGTCGACGTTCCCGTCAGGGTCTCCGGCACCAGCCGCCAGGCCTTCACATTAACATGGTATCCGAATACCCTGTTCGCTCTGGCAAGGCCTCCCTGCTGAGTGTGGGGGGCATCAAGCGTTGCAAATAACACGGTATCCGACATCCGGAAACCCTGCGAGCTTTGGCGGGGCCTCCCAGGAGGGGTGTGAGGAGCACGAAACATGGTAAATTGTCTAGTGTCCGAATACCCTACACGCTCTGGTGGGGCCTCCCTGGAGGGATGTGAAGGGCACGAAACGATTTAAAGCGTACGCTGTCCGAATACCCCGCGCGCGTCGGCGGGGCCTCTCTGAAAGGTGTGGGGGGCACCAAACGCGGTAAATACATAGTTTCCGAATATCCTGCGCACTTTGGCGGGTCCTCCGTGGAGGGGTGCACGCGGCACAGAACGTTTCAACTAGCATGGCGTCCGAATACCTTGCGCGCTCTAGCGGGGCCACACACGAGTGGCGTGAGGGGCACGGAACGTTATAAATCCACCACCGTGCCTCGAGGCCCGAAGTGAAATTAGCCCCACGCTCTCATGTGTCTTCTGTTCACTGTGCTCAGGACTGGGGGATTCTGGCATTCTAGGGGCTGGGGCCCCAGATTCTAAAATTTCATGCGCGTTCCCGCGCGCTCCTGGCTGCCTCGCGCGACTTTCCCAAAAGCCTGGGGGCCCCAATACGGTCCCAGAGGGCTCCACAAAGCGCCCAAGAGGGTCCAACAGGCCTCCAAAACAGCTCATGAGCGCTCCAAGACGCCCAATATGGCCTCAAGACGGCCCCAAAGAAGCCCCAAGAGCGCTCCAAAAGGACCCCCAAGAAGGCCCCAAGACGCAACAATCATTGATTTTTCGTATGGTGTTCGATGTTTTTCGCGTTCCGGCGTGTTCGAGCTCCCGACGCTGTAAGATGGCCCCAGAGGCCCTCAAGACCGCCCCAAGACAGCCCAAGAAGCCCCCATTCAAAAGAAAAGGAAAGGAAAGGAACGGAAGGCCACGCGCCCTAGGGCACGTCGGCGCGCCCCAAGCGAAGACGGTCCAAGAAGGCCCCAAACCGGCCCAAGAGGCACCCAACAGAGCCCCAAGACGGCCCCAAGAGGGGCCAAAGAAGGGGAGCACGAACCGACAATTCGGGCCTTCCGCCTCAAGAGGCCCCCAGGAGGCTCCCAGGAGGGCCCCAAGATGCCCCACGAGACCCCTAGGAGCACCAAAAAGAAACCAAAAAGGACAACGCGTTTCCCCAATAAATCTTGAAAAAATCCCCAGCGAGAGCGTGATTCCTGAGTGTCGAGGGCGTGGCGTCTGAAGAAACTGCAAGGATGTCCCACGCGAAAGCGTGATTCCTGCATTCAAGTATGAGGAAGTCCCTCGCGAGAGCGCAATTTGGAAATAATTTGCGGAAATATCAGGCGGGAGCCGCTGTTGTTGTAAACCAGGAGCCAGGGGCACAATTTGAGCAGGAAGACCTTCCCCGATAAAAACACAGCGAGCCTCGGGAGGGGCACTTCAATGGAAAAATACATGTTAGGCGAATGCGTGAATCCTCCACAATTCGCCAGAAGTCTCGGACGAGAGCGCGACCCCTCAGTAAATGATGAGGAAAGAGAGCGCGATTCCTGAATGGCGAGGGCGTGGCGCCTGAACACATTGAGAGGAAGTCACAGGCGCGAGCGCGATTCTTGATTAAATGTATGGAAATCCCTAGCGAGAGCGCGATTCCCGAAAATTGCGGGAAAATTTGGGGAGCGCAATTTGAGGAAGATCTTCCCTGATAAAAATCCGAGTGCGAGCCCCGGGAGGGGCATTTCATGTGTTACCGGAGGTGGGATCAACAATAATTATTCTTTAGTCGTGAGAATTTAATTATTATCCCAAAGCGACCCTACCTAGGAGTTGGAGCCCCGAGGAGAGCAATATTAGTAGTAACGGTAAACGCCGTCCTCCTCCTTCTCCTCATCGTCGCAGTTGTAGCAGTAGCGGTAATAGTAGTAGTAGTAGTAGTAGTAGTAGTAGTAGTAGTAGTAGTAGTAGTAGTAGTAGTAGCAGTAGCATCATCAGCAGCAGCAGCAGCAGCAGCAGCAGGAGTAGTAGTAGTAGTAGTAGTAATAGTACAGCTTACTACCTACATATACATCTGGACCTGGACCTACATCCACATCTACACCTACAGCACATCTACATGTACACATGCACATCTACATCTACATGTACATATACAACTACACTCACATCTACATCTACATCTAAATCTACATCTACACCTACATCTACACCTACATGTACATCTACATCTACACCTGCATCCACATCTACACCAAAACCTACATCTAAATCTACATCTACACCTTCGCATTGGTGTTGCTTTTGCTTTGCATTGCCTTTGCTATTGCTCTTGCTTTTGTTTTTGCCTTTGTTGTTGCTTGTGCGTGACTTTTGTTTTTTTTTCTGTTGGTTATGCTAGGCTAGGGTATGCTAGGGTATGTTATGCTGCGCTGTGTTGTGCTAGGTTATGCTAAGCTATGACATGCTATGCTATGCTATGCTATGCGATGCTGCGCTATGTTATGCTATGATATGCTGCGCTATGTTATGATGAGCTATGCTATGCTATGCTGCGCTATGCTGTGCTATGATATGCTGCGCTATGCTATGCTATGCTATGCTACGTTATGGTATGCTATGCTACGCTGTGCTATGCTAAGCTCAGCTATGATATGTTATGATATGATGTGCTGTGCTATGCTATGCTATGCTATGATATGACTTGCTATGCTGTGCTGCGCTATGCTATGGTATGAGATGGTATGGTATGCTGTGCTATGCTATGCTATGCTAATGCTGCGCTGCGCTAAGCTAAGCTAAGCTGAGCTAAGCTAAGCTAGGCTAGGCTAGGCCAGGCTAGGCTAAGCTAAGCTAGGCTAAGCTAAGCTAAGCTAGGCTAGGCCAAGCTAAGCTAAGATGAAAAAAGCTAAGCTAAGATGAGATAAGCAACGCTCAGTTAAGGGGACATAACTGGGGGAACCGCGGGGCGGATGCCGGGGGAACCGCCCCGGGCGAGCCCTACTGCCCGGCCCCTTTAAGCCAACAGAGTAAGAACCCTTCTAAGCAGAGCCTAGGTAGGGAACAACAGTACAAGCCACAACTGTTACCAAACCCTCGATACCCGCCCTCTTCTTATATATTTCTTTCCTGCAACATGCATGTCGTGCAGCCCCTAAGACAGGGGAAGGGCAACAGCGGGGCCGCGAAAGACATGCATATGGGGCCACGACGGGCGCGTGCGAGCGGGGGGCTCGAAGACCATACGTACATAGGGCCACAGAATGC